GTTCCATTTAAAAAAAATAAGTTATCCATGATTAAAAAGTTCGAAAATTACAGATCCCTACTTAAGAATTCCGTAATATAAATGCATAATTTTCTATTAGCAAACGTGTGTTCTTTTATTGTTAATCCAAAACAGAAAACCAAATCTTTCTAGCTTTCACAGTTTCGGCAATATTGCCAAATTTATAAGACACTGCAATTTTTTTCGAAAATCGTCATAGAAATCAAAAACGATACCAGTTAGAGCTACGGTATCCTTAACAAACTACCATTAAAATTTCACAAAGAATTCAAAAATGCAATAATATACAGGATGTTCCATTTAAAATAACAAAGTTTATATCCATTTCCGGTAGAAGCGGAAATCCGCCATTACTGAAACTAATTTTAAAATATGTACAATATGATTCGATTTAACTTTTATTTGAAACATTTTTTGAAAACCTCAATTTTAATTCGGCTATGGACGGAGGCAACTTAGGCGGGACACCTGTATATGTATAAAATAGAAACCAGTTGAAAAGTACAAAATGAAACTCTAGATAATTTTCTTCAAAAATTTTTACACGAAACATCATTTTAACTCTAGTATTTGTGATTAAATTTATGCCACGACTTACAGAAACATCCTGTATAATCGTAAAACGACTGACCAAGCGGATTCTGTGCTTGTGATGGCTGTCATCAGTGTTCTGTGATAAAAAGAGATAGGCACCAAACAATTTTCAATAGTTTGAGAGTGTCTATTCTGAAAAGTCATATTTTTAGAGAGATAAAAACGAAAATCGCGTTTTTCTCAACATTGTTCATTTGCCGCTTAGTCAAGTGATGCATAACACGGTCCAGTTATGATATAATAATTGTAAAAAAGCCCGACAAATGCGAAACCCCTGCAGACTTTTGTTTCAAAAACTGCAATAACTTGTGTGAACTCTGCAATTATATTGCAATAATTAAATGTGCTTGGTGTCTGACATCAATGTACAGCAGCACTTCTTTGTGGCAACAAACGGCAACTCTCTACATTACTGTACTAATTTTAAAGTATAGGTCAAAAGCACCCGAGAAAGGTTTGATCAAGAAAGACTTGAAGAAACATTGACTTGTAGTGATCAGTTTCCATGATTCGTTACTATTAGGGGTAGTTTTTGATATGAACCGTTTTTCTAGAAATCCGCCTTAAAATTATCGTTATTCTTACATTTTTTTAAATTTGTCGCAAGTTTTAACAAGGAAAAGGGGCAGATATGACGATATACGTGTCTAATATTTTTCCATACACTACTTGTGCCAAGTTTCAAGAAAATCGCCGTATGGCACTTCCCTACTGTTACTTGTCAGTATAAGCTAAGCAACTATTATTTCCCATATTGAGTTATCAAATGCTTAATTTAGTCTATTCGTTATTTGTAATGTTGTTATTTTAAAACTTAAGGTTCATAATATAAAATAAAAATCGAGGTTTTACTGCATTTGTTGTAACTTTTTAAAAAACTGTCTCGGTCCACTTAATTTTGCTTGACATGCCACACAAGGGTGAATTTATTGTAACGTTGCGGGTACAATGCAGATAACTCCCGAGAGGAAGTATTCGAAACGAACGTTCTATTCTACCCTTTAAGTGGCTCACCCAACTCTTTCATCTGAAACCGAGAAACGGTTTTCGCGAAGCGCAAACTTTCCGTTATTCTCAACATCTCATTGTAAGTTTTCTCTCTTTTAAAAACGCGATGAAACATCGACAACTAAACCCGAAACAAAGAGAATTATCAACGCCTCAGTTTAATCGTTTTCTCTTTTGGAAGTAATTGCCGGCAATTTTAGCGGAGAATTCCAGTCTCCCATTTTCCTTTCTTCTCATCCTCAGCATCGCTTATATTTAATTGCACCACATTTTCGACGAAGAAGCGGGCGGTTAATGCCATATTGCCTCCTCCCCCTACCTATTCATCCTGACAAATTAAACGATAAAGTGGCTCTCGTCGACGCGGAAGCCAAAGGGTTAAAGCGTTAATTTAATTGAAGGTAACAGCTGGGGAGGGTTCTTAGGTTTATCACTTTGGTATATAAAAGGTAAAACACCGGATGGACTTTACTAGCAATTAACTTTAATATTGGGGAGTGGATGTCGTGTCGAGTTTTGATGGACACGGCCAATTACGGAATACAATAAACTGAGGAGTGCCGCACTTACCGCAGAAATCGTTTTCCGATGGAGTTGTCCGTGATGGGCGTTAGGTGCAGATTTGTACTAAATTGAGTGTACATGTGATGTGCCATTACTAACATCCAACATAGGACGCATGACCGGATGTATTGCAATGAAAATGCCAAAGCTATACATAATTCAGGATCCTGAAACAAAAACAAAATCTAATAACTTCATCAAAAAATGCACTCTCAATATCGCGTCACACATTGCCGCAAATAATTAATGTGGTTATTTAAATTCAAGCAAAAATCGTTGTCTACCTCATCCCCTTCTCCAGATGGTTTAGATCCCACAACGTAGAAGCCATAAATCACAGGACCAATAATGACGCAGCATCTCCGGTGGGATTGGAAAGCGCTTTACGCTGAAAGACGCGTCCTTATCCCGGAAATATATTGCCCTATTTTCGATTTTATGTCCCCGAATTAACGTCACATCGAAAGGTATCCAGTTTGATGAGAGAGAACACACGGTAAATCGAAAATTATTCGTGATCAATAGATCTAAAGCCAAGATAACGACGAGCCCTTTGACGATGGAAATATTGACGCACCCCGAGGGGTTCAATTTGCTCCTTTTGACGCTAACGTTCTCATTACGTTATTAGATTTTTGTTCACAGCACACACGCGTTTTAAAAATGTTCCATGGTTTCATAGCTTGATATACCTCAACGAGGGGAGCTTTTCAAACGTGCTTTGTAAGCGCGAGCTTGCAAAACGGTAATCTTGTATTCGCGGATAAAAACCAGCCTCCATTATCGTAATCTACCAGCGAATGCTTATAGCAGCAATTCTTTTTGTGATTAAAAAGATTACTACTCGTATGAACACGAATAGAGGTACTTACTGGAATTACAGGGTTTCATTACGTGATTGAATTACTAGGAATTACTTACACTTCTGTAGTTCAAGTGGTTTGTAGAGAAATTTATCTTTGAAAAAGAAAATACCTACTAATAGATTTTTTAAGCAATTTTTTATTGTTTTAATTATTTTTAATTTATTGTTAACAAAAATGTCATTGTTGTAAAATATCATTGTAAATGTTTAAGTTGCACACTCTAGAGATTATTAAATTTAGTGAAGGATTATAATGTTCGTACTGGGAGTTGATTTCCGCGCGCGCACTTTGGGGAAATGGATAATTCTATTTATGCGCGGAGGTGACGTAAAGCAACGGCAACAACCACTTGTTGGCCGTACACTTTAACTTCTTGGTCTGCGTACACGTTAAGTGGGCGCATGCAGCGAGTAGTATTGCTGTATTAGAGCACTTATGTCAGAAATTTCCTCGTAGTTTCCGGAAAACTGTCCTTAATTGGATGAAGTATGAGAGCTTTTGACGTATACAGTTACCATAATTATAGTGTAGCCAGCTACAACTTGATATGTTTGAAAATGTTATATTAAAAAATTATTATGGGTCATAATTTAATACTTCATGAATTAATTAAAACGAAATAGAATTCAATTAAATAAAGATAATATAGTTTAAATTGGTTTAAATATTGTTTAAACATTTTAAATGTCAACTTGACAGATATCTCGACAGATATCTCGAAAAAGGAATTTATGATTGACTTTATAACATGGTTTTCTATGTACATACATATTTATTTTATAAATTTGGGATGTTTTTATTATTATTGTCATTTACAGATCAAAATAGTATTTACTTTCCGCAGATAATAGTGATATGGTATATAAAATGAGGTCCTACATTTCTCTATAATGATAAAGATAAACGGGGGTGTCTAAATTAACCAGGTTAATTTGTTGTTTGATTGTAGAAATTCAAACCCTGAAACAAATTAACCAGGTTAACTTGTTGTTTGATTGTAGAAATTCAACCCCTGAAGAAGCTTTAATAAACAAAGCGAAATAATGGTGAATGAAAAAATAATTGTTCTTTAGTGTCCTCAATCCTATCCTGAATTAGCGTGTCATTTCGAATTGCTAACGGGATTGAAGAAACAAATCTCCTGCTTAAGTTTTAATCAACAGGTTATAATGGGATTCTACAGTCAAATTCAACTTACCCATGGACAACAAACGAAAAAGGACATGACGTCCCTTTCAAATTTCAACATCAAATTGGCGAAAATGAAAAATCGGCTCACTTTCCTCATCAAATGTAGGAAACTCGGTGTTATTCCCTCACACATCTCAGACGGTTCGAAGAACCTTCGAAGAACCTCATTGACGAAGTTACTGGTTCCCTCCAGTACAAGATTGGTGTATATATGTTACCGTCAATCTGTATAATTCAGATGCTCTATACAATGCCTAGGTAATGTATAAAATACCTGGGGTGTCTAGGCAATGTATGAAATATTATGAAGATTATTGTCCCTTAGATACTTTACCTAGGTAATGTATACAATTCTAAGGGATTACATACAGTACCTGTTGGTCGACCGGCAATGTGTAAAATAAATAGATTTTGGTCTCTATTTATCAATTTTTACCCATAATAAACTTTTTTGTAATTCGCTACGGTAATGCAAGCTATAACAGTACTCAAACGGGTGCTGTAATGAGACTCCTCACAGCATCCGATGCTGTAATGAGATTTTAGTAACATTTTATGGAACCAGTTCAAGTTGGTCACATTGGGTCATGAAATTTTCTAGTTGTCAATGTGACAATGTTTGTCTATGGATGTTTAAACACGTTCTTAGCATCGAATACAAGGTCCACAATGATGAGGACATTGAACTCTGAGCAATTTCTTTTATTTTGGGAGGTATACATGAAACATTTTTGTCAGGTGAATACATTTTGTGTTTTGACAGTTTCTAATTGTCAATTTAAATTTCTATTTTCAAATGTTACGGTGTTACCAACTGCTACATACCTATTTCCCTACATTGTCAAAATTTATTTTATTTTTGAGAAAAAAAAGGATAAAAACGCGAATTACAAAAAATAGCATAAGCACTCATTCATTAAAAAACTCGTGGCTTCGCCACTCGTTTTTCAACTTGAATTCGTGCATTTCAAACGTGTCTTACGAAACTTGTTTTTTAATATACTATTTTATAATCTATAAGTTATTGTACCAAATCAAGTAATAAGTATTAAAAACTTAGGAAACGAAATAATTCTGTAAAAACAAGACAGTCTTACTTTTGCGATATGAACACTTTTTAGTATCACAGTGTTTTTTGCAAGTACATTTAATAAATCCCTGACATGTCCCCGTAGATTGCAGATTCGCAACTGTATGGAGCATCGTTTCTTGATTAGGGAGATCTTATTCTTTCAGTAGTTCTTGACGACAAACTGTAAACTGCTGTTTTAAATACTAATTCTTTACAACACCTTGCTTTGTTCCTATTTTATATAGTTCGTCATTTTTTGTAAGACTACAGCTAGTATATTGCGAGCATCAGCACAACCTGTGTCGACTTCCGGAACACGGATTTTTACAGTGGTACCCAATGGCATGTGGGGAAATTTTTTTCCCGAAGTGTTAAGCATTTTCTGAGCTTGCTCTGTTAAATTATCATTGGAACTACAGCTAAAGCGTTTTTTAAGCGTAATGGGCAAACAACTTTAGAACCATAGTCTTCTGCCATATCTTTCTCCTTCCCTGTTCTCGCCTTTTACACACATTGCCGGCTTCGCATTCGGTATTTTATAGAATACCTAGGCAAAGTATAAAATTAATACTATTTCATATATTACCTAAACGTTTTAGGTATTCTATAAGTTGCCTAGATATTGTATAGAATACCGGATTGTGCAGATTGCCGGTAACATACAGCGTGTCCCGTATCTTCCGCATCAGAGCATTATACGGTTGTAGAATACATTATTCTGAAGCGATCTTTCTAATAAAATTTTTTCGAAATGTTTATAATAACCGCACGGGAACTGTTTAACGACGACCAATAACGGACTATTTTGATTCATCGAAAAAGTTTATTTCTCTTTCCATGACGAATCTATTGGTGAGTACACGTGGGAAACGAGTTATCATCGGCGTAGCGNGTGACGTTAATTTACCTAAACTAACTAATGCATCACACTTTTTCGGGTTGTTCTAATTGCACGGTGAACATAAATAATTACTATTATTAAAAGTAGCATTAGGTTTCTGTTCCATTGTTACTTAAAATTTTCATAATAAAGGTTTATTAAATATGTTGCTTCTTTTCCTGTATTGTAAAAATATAACATTACTAATATGTCATTTTTACCTTACCGATATGTCATTTTTACATTCCTAATACAGTTATAACGTACATTACAAACCAACTTTTGTGAATGTTAAGAACCTTCTTACAGCCTGAAACCGGTAAACAAATTAACAGTCACGACAAATTAGAGTCGTATTAGAATTTCTCAATATTGTAGAAAAATTAGAATTTGTGAATGACTTTATAACATGGTTTTCTATATACATATTTATTTTATAAATTTGGCATGTTTTTATTATTATTGTCATTTACAGGTCAAAATAGTATTTGCTTTCCGCAGATAATAATAATATGTTAGTATATAAAATAAGGTCCTACATTTCTCTATGATGATAAAGATATACAGGTGTCCGGAAATTGCGTCTATGTATTTAAAGTGGTGATTCTACATCAAAAATTATGAAGAAAAGTTTATATAAAGTCCGGTCCGAAAATGCTTCCTAACGCGCTACAGCCCTTTAAAGATAGCACTCAAAAAGTACTCTTTTAGCGTTATCTCAAAAACGGCAAGGTTTAGAATGCCGAAATTTGGTGTACAGAAAATTCAAGAATCATCATGTGGCTTAAAAATAGACGATTTTTTTCAATCAATGTAAAATCAACGCAAAAAACACGTTAAAAAAAGAAAGTGCGGAAAAGTATAGAACATACCGAAAAAACACATTAAAGTTTCGATGTGACGACACATTTTGTGATTGCTTGTCATTAGATAGACTGTATGTCAATAGAGTCTGTGTTAATAATAGAATTAACACGTGTAAAACGTTAACGTTAACGTGTAAAATTAGAACTAACACTAGGCCTAGAACTAGAAACATACTTTCTAGATCTAGGTTTAGTGTTAGTTCTAGTTTTAATGCAATAAAAATATACAACACAGTGATATTTTATGCTAACTACCTACCACAGCCACTAGAACTAACGTTAGACCT